AATCAAACTGTTAGACATCCTCCAAGCGAATAGTCCGGAAAGAGCCGAGTTGGGATATGAGCATTCCACAGAGTTTCCACAGTACCTCACGCCGATCATGTTGGCGGCCCAGTGCGGCCACCATCAGATCATCAGCCTGTTGCTAGAACGCGGCCACACAATACCGATACCACACAAAGCCCGGTGTCTTTGCAAAGAGGTCAGTAGGAATGCATTTCTTTATAGTAATCCGAGGAATATATTTCAAACGAATTATTTAGTAAATGAGACAGTTCAACGGCATTTTAAGAATTCCATTTTTTTAAATATTTATTTCTTGTTTATATAATATTATTATTTATTAAGATTTAAGGTAAAACCAATATTATTTTTCTAAGTTTTTTTTTTGTTTTCACTGTTTTGAAAAACAGATGGTTGTCGAAAATATTGTTAATTTTTTTCATTCTGACACTTGTGTTTTCCTTACAAACATTTGGATGTTTCACGCGTAGTCCTCTTTCTATCTATAAAATAATATCACAACAGGTGTGCAAGTCGTTGGCCCAACTCAACAATGGCCTCGAGGCATCTGAACTAAAACTATCGGTGTTTCGGGCTCTGTCAAATCCGTTTTACATCTACCTAACGTCAGAAGACCCTATCCTCACCGCGTTCCAGCTGAGCAAGCAGCTGTTACAACATGGCAACGTGAATCGACTGTTCAAGTCCGACTACGAATCATTGAACCTGCAGACTCGGCTTTTCGCCGTTGACCTGATTGGGCTGTGTCGGTCTTCGAGCGAGGTGAAGCTGATACTGACCCGGAAGGAGGGCTGCAACTTTTTTGGATCGTTCCCTTATCACCGGCTGGTGATGGCCATGGACCTGAAGCAGAAAGAGTTCGTGGCACACGGCAGCGTGCAGCAAATTCTAGAGGTGGCGTGGGCGGGTAACTGGTACGAATGGCGGGATCGCTGGTCCCATACAGCGGCCTGGGCTGTGCTGTTGCGCGTTCCCCTGCTCTTGTGGATTCTCCTCTTGTACCTGGTAGCTCCGTACTCTAAGAGCAGTGAGTACTACTCACTGCCCGTGAACAGGATGATCAACTACCTGGCATCGTACGCCGTGTACCTGGTGGTGCTGACGTGGGCCAACAACCTAGACAAGTCGACGGTCGATTGTCCAGGTGACACGGTGGGTCTGGTGCTCAAAATTATCATCGTGGTGTACGCTGTAACGTTCGTGTTGCGCACTGTCAAGCTGGTCATGGTTCAGGGTCCCTGGCGGTTCTTCAGCATGCTGTGGAACATCTATGACTGTGTCAAACTGTGTATGCTAGCCGCCACAGCCGGGTGCTGGTGGTCGTCTTACTTCCACCCACACGATCCACCCATCGAGCGCAAGTACTGGACATCACTGCACCCGACGCTGGTTGGCGAAGGTTTTCTAGCCGTGGTCACAGTCATGTCGTACCTGCGGCTTCTGTTCCTGTGTCAGCTCAGCTACTCTCTGGGCCCACTGCAGGTGTCCTTGGGAAAGATGACCACAGACTTTGCTCGATTAGCCGCCGTATTCGGCATCATCATCGTGGCGTTCACCGCGGGCCTGTGCCGTTTCTACCAGTATTACGGGGGCATGACACGAGTCGATCCGGTCACCGGTTTCGAGACCAAGCAGGACGATTCATTCATCAACGTGTACTCGACGCTCAAAACGCTCTTCTGGGGCGTTTTCTGCATGACGTCATCCACGGCCGGCTCGGTGGTCATTGAGAACCCACCCTCCGAAGACGGCGAAGATTCGACGCCCGTCAACAACCACTACATCACGCAGGCCGTGGGCACGCTCCTCTATTCCGTGTTCCAGACACTGTCTGTGATCGTCACGCTCAATATGCTCATTGCCACCATGACCAACACCTTCCAGCGAGTCACCGGAAACTCGTATGTAGAATGGGTGTTCGGCCGGACGGAAGTGTTCCTGTCTTTCTCAATGCACAGCGATTTACCACCGCCCCTCAACATACTGCCTACCATCCGCTGCATGGGGGACTTTTTTAAGTGGATGGTCAGCTGCTGCAGGGCCAGTTCTATGGGCTTCGTCAACATGGTATCGTCCAAGAAATATCATGCAGACGCCTTTTCTGACAGTAAAGCTTTCCATGAGCTGATGCACAAGCTTAGCCGACGGTACTTCCGGCACAAGCAGCGACCCGCCGACGTCAGAAAATGTTTTACAGCCTGTAATTGAACGTTATTTTTACACTAACCAACTTCCTACACTCTAAACACACCTCTCTTTTAGGTTAAGTACCATCAGCAGTATTGGTCGGATCATTTGTATTCGTTTCAAGAATAATATTGGTTTTTCATCGCTCAAACACATAGGTGATCGAATATCTGCAACTGCTGTCGTTGCCGGTAGTAATTATTTTCTAAACTATTATATTATGTAGGTAATAATGATTTTGTATTTTGGCGCTTACAATGCAATTAAACGTATTTAATGTTGTATCTAATTCGTTGTTGAATAGTTTCATGGGATATAATGCATTTAATATGCCAAGTGACAATATCGGCCAATACTTTTATAGACTAAAATTTTACCTGCAATTTTTTAGTAGAAAAATATTGGTAAGTAACCGACATTATTTTGTATCAAACATAGATGATACCCCTTATATAAAGAAAACAACTCATAAAGCGTTTCTGAAAACAGACCTAGTTTTCTCATAAAGTTTATTTCAGAAAAAAAATACGAAATTATTGACAAAATATTTAAACTTGTTTCGATAAGTCAATAATACGCGATAAATACATCTATTAATTGGTATGATGGATAAAGTGTTATCTAGATACGTTTAGCAAGGAACAGTATTTTTTTTTTTTTTATGCAACTAGTTTTGGTAAGTTGCATGTAATAAGTTCATGTGATTATAGAAATAGAGTGTACGATAGTTTATGAAAGGTACACTAATATCAATGATCATTTAGGTACTACATTATTTCATACAAAAACACACGGTTTGTACTCATAATAATACCCACAAATATTATGTATAACTAACCTCCTCCCTGTATCTGACTGTTCACAATCAGATCAAGTGACTTCAAGGCAACTATAATAGCTAACATGTACTATGTGATACTACAACTACAACTAAAACACTTCTCTAATATAATATGCTCGCATAACTCAACCGCAGAAGAGTCACCATAATGTTAGCTGAAACATAAAATTACATGTATTTTGTCACCTAGGCCGAAAACACCTTCACGACAGTTTACATAAAATACTACTCAAACTTGTGATTTTATCGTGGTTAAACATTTCACAATCTTAAAGTAAGTACATGTATATAAATTCGTACTATTATTAGTTAACATCACAATATTAATCTGAACTTCTAACGCCTATCAAAACTGTTGAACTGCAGGTATGCAGCTTGTTCGATATCAATGAATGTTGGACTTTTAAAATACCTATGCAATAATAAAATAGGTTACCTACTAAGTCTAATGATTTCAATTTGTGAAAATAATAAATAAATAAATTTGTTAAAATAATAAAAATATTATTGTGATACTATTATTATTTATTATTAATATTATTTTCCTTTTTTTTTAAAGTGTTTTAACTAGAAGCAATATTATTTGCTTAACAATGGTGCTCAAATATATTTCCAAAATCACTAAATCCCATTCATTATTCGAAAAGTTTACTTAAAAAACTAAATTCGTTCACATTCACGTTCAATGTATATTCAATTATCAAATCGTTCAAGGCGTTTACATTCATTATTTTTCAAAAGAACACGTTCACGTTACGTCTGAGTTTATTGGTTTTGTTTATTAAATATTTATTTAAAAATGAATTACCTACTATCTACAGAAATATTTTTTTTTAATTTTTAATTTGTACGTAGGAAGGTACACATTTACAATCCAATAAAAAAATAATTTAATTTAAAGTTCTCTAAAAGTACAAATTTTGTTAAAGCTTAAGTAACTCCATAAACTGTTCCCATAATAATTCCATAACGATTCCATTATGTTTATTTTGTGGTTAAAAATACATTTTACAGACTAGTCCAAATACACCAGATTTTTCTAAAAGATTAAAAAAGCTTGCAAATGTCGGCAAGTCTAGAACTGATTCCCAACAATTATTAGAATTTCATAATATTTCTAACAATTTACTAGCTTAATAGCTTAATAGTTTATTTTAGTTTACATTTTTTAATATCTTATTAGTTTTTCCTAATAGTTTCTCGTCCCTAAAAATATCTACACGTGAGGATCATTGGGGAAAAAATAAAGAACCCAGATATGACGATTTTTAGGTGAATGCTGTTATGTCACCATTACGACTACGTTATGGACACGAAAAATGGGTTTTTCTCAAAATAAACGACGTGTGAAATAGCACACTTTCGAGTATTTTTTTTTCTTATAACCGTTCAAACAAATTCTACAGACTATTTTATCACATGCGTGATTGCGGTTTTTTTTATCGTAATCGTATAATGGCTTAGGTACGTGATCGACGTTGATGTTCTTTGCATGTGTGTGTGTGTGTGTGTACGTGTGTGTTTGACTTGTTACTATGCACGATACTTTACAACCGCTATAATGTTAAAATTCAGTTGCTAAAAGCCATAACTAATTATTAAAATATAAAAAAATTCTAATGATTTGATAAAATACCTATAATACTCATAGTATGCCTCACCTATTAATTATAAACAGTGAAACAGATTAATAACTGCATTTCATTTTTAAGGATTTTATTGCTATACATAATAATGTTATAATATTACAACCTATCAAAAAACCTTATTGAAAGTATTTATTTTAGTATATGCTATAAATATTAAACGAATATACTAAGTAGTAGGCGGGACCCAAGCGATAACGTGCGTGTAAACACAACTGTTATTAAAAATCCAAAAATTTGTGTATTTTGAAATCCGTATTGCAAATATTATATACAATATGATATAATCTAAATATATCTCATACCAGGATCTCGCGATATGACATGCCATTTTCCTGGGATCCAACGACGAAATTTTCATAATTTCTTACCTGAAAAAAAAAAATTCAGTATAAATTTCATTGACATTTTAATATTTTAACACAACTGAATATCCCGAATAAAATATATTATTATTAGTTTTAGATATGTTTCAAATCTGCAGGGTATATTTTACTTAGTATTACTAACGAACTGTTTATATACACATTTTATAAGATTCCTAAAATTAAAAAAAAGGCCAAAAAAAAAAAAAAAACACGCACCGAAAAAATTTACCTTATAGGACAAAATTCCATAATTGTTTAAATGTTTGATTTAATTTGGGATCTCGCAATAGTGTAAAACAATTTAACAAATCGCACAACAAAATAAGATTTGAATTAAATTTGGCTTCAATTAAATTCTTTTTTATCTATTTATTTCTGTTATCTATGTATATATAGGCACCCAACACGGTATATAAATTGAGTAAACTGTATTTCACTCAAATCAATCAATATGTCAACATATTTATCAACAGGTGGGTAATGATATACAATTTATTGAAAGGTAAATTCACCAAAATAATTATTTTAATATTTAACAATCAACCCTTCTCTGCTGGATATGAAATGTGCATTTGCGTCTATATACTGTATACTTAGTAAAATAATTATTTGTCATAAAAGTTCTAAGAATGGGTATTTAAATGTTTGTATTGTTATCCTTTTTAAATATTATTTTATTGATATAATATATACAAAAATAATTCATGAAAATGGAGATTATAACTTCAAATAAAAGTGGTGACTGATATGTTATAACGTAGAACAGTCATTTATTGAACTTGTTTAAAAATCATATTTATAGTGCCTAAATATTGGATGTATAATATATTATAATATTAGTAGTACGTATAGTACAATTCTATGTATAATCACTTGTTTAGGCCTTTTTAGAGGTTTCATTAATTTTTTTGTGGTTATTTTCTGGACTTTTTTATGGTATCTTTTTCACCGAATACGATTGTACGCATAAACACGTTTGTGAAATGTTATACGTAGGGTCATACACATCTCTATTCGTTTTCAATTTAATAACTGTGTATAAATATATATATTCCATAAACATAAAATCAAGATTATTATTATAAAATAAAAATTTGCGTTTTTTAACGATCTCGTTAGTGTTCGTTCGAATAATTGTGAAATAACAGATGACGAACAAAAAAAATAACAAGTTATGACGAATCGTGATTATCATAGTTATGACAATTTGAACAGTATTTTACTTGTTGAATTAATTACAGAAAAATATGTCAGTGTTATATACAATTTTGTTTATGCACTGGTTAATTGAATGTTGTGCAATCTGTTTTTATACAACAAAAGTAAATTTGTGAAAATAATACAGTGGCATTGATAAAACTAAAACAAAAATAACTGAGGAGAAGTCTCTCATATTAAAATAAATATTGTAAGATTATTATAACAGTGGCTGTATTATACTATCATTGTTATGAGAATAATAAACTGTAAGGATATTAATTCATTATATTATAATAATAATACAACCCTGAGTTCTATTATGTTTACAGCAGATTTACCGATCTGCAGTATAAGGTTTTAAGCTCCCTAGCCGAATCAAGTAAAAATGATAAAGGTCCAAAGAGGAGAGTATTTATAGGAAATGGTGAGGAGATAACGACTACTTACAAAAATGTGTCGGAAACGGACAGTTGGAAGATTATCTCCTTACCTCCTCAACTCATACCCCTTTTACCAATATCAAATAAACTTATTTGTGATACGATTTCTAAATATTATATGCAATAGAATAATATTTTCTACCTTTTACATAAAAACTCATAGGAGAATACATAAATATCTAAAATGAAATAAAAATGCGTATTAGCTGTAAAAGGTTTGTCGAGGTCGTAATAATAGTCAACAATTTCCGCACTTTAATGTATTTATTATTCGGTAGATGAATAATGCGCGAAACTACTAACCATACATAGTCGTTTAGTATATTTTATGATGTACGAGTTTGTTGTAGATTTAAAAAAAATATTAGTTCGCGGAGAATGTAAGTACTTATACCTACGTAGCTAGCTATTATAATGCACAGGTATAGTATGATTGCAATCTAATCGTGCAGGCAGACGAAATATTATTTATGAAAGCAAATTATACATTTTTACGATCACTAGTCGTGGTAAGTATAAATATATATATTATTATATACATACGTCATACGTATATAGTTTATGTATTTTCAGATTACATAAACGATTCATTCGTCTCCATCACGATTTCGACATTTCATCGTGGTTCCTACGAGTTAGACCTTCCGAATATTGCAACCACATCGATCACGCAATTAATATTTACCTATATATAGTATATGTTCTATCAAATAAGTATAATTCGAGCGATGATCGAAGTGTCTATATGCGGCTGAAATGTACATGTGTGTTGGGGGAGGGAGACAACACGGACATTTCACTTAAACTCTTAAAACTGGAGCAGTTATATACCATGGTCGGAACCATTGAGTATGATTTAAGTAGGAATACATGCGTAAATTATTTTATTATTCTATTTCACTAATGAGTGCCTAATCACTTTTTAAATGAAAAAAATATTTGTTTTTTTTTAAAAGTATTTTAGTCTTCATCCACCCACCTGTATTTGAACTTCAGACCATACAACGAGACACTGCCACATTTGCATGTCATTTGCGTGCCCATATTACTGGTTCCATGTACCCATATTGTAAGGTTCTCCGTGAAATTTCCCCATTAAAACGATTGGCTTTTATTTATAGGCATGGGACTTAGATAAGCATTAGAATGGAAATCAAATGAAACATACTTAATAGCAATCTTTAATTATTCTACCTAGTGGTCTTGCCATCATAGTCGTGCTAACGAGGTACGTAATTTACTTTTGGCAGACAATTTCAGATTACCAAATAGTCCCAAAATACATTTTTTATGAAGAATACAAATTAACAAGTATGAAAATGTACGATCGATGTTTACAGCTTAATTTGCACACCTTGCCCACGTCTGTGTAGCTGCAGTATACCATTTTGTTCCCCCTTGTTATCGAGAACCGGGGGAGGAACTGGTGTTGGCATTGCTTCTCTCATGGTCCCCATCGTTCATTGTGCAACAAAAACAAAGTAGATATTACACCAATAGCATACTGGGATGCGCCCCTCCCCACTATCAAATGAACTTGCCCCATCACTAGGCGTGTGCTCACCTGGGAGCAGAGGTCGGCGAGCTCACATTAAAAAAAAAAATCACTTAGGGCGTCGTCGTTCACTGCTGTCGGTCTCGCGGGCCGACCCGAGTCCGACTCCCTGAAATAACGTGCTGCGGTGTCGTGATCGCTGTGGTATCAAAAGGGATGCGAGAAGAACGTGGGTGGGTGACCCCTCCAACGGTTGCTGTGCTGTGATATCGTCTTCAACGCTCTCCTTCTGTCCGCGGATTGCATTATGGACCTCGTGAGGATGGAGGGCGGTGGTTTAGAGGGAGGTCTCTTTCACCCACCCATAGTGATAATAGAATAATATTATAAGTTATAACACATCTTGCAGTGCAGAAATATTTAAAATCGTCGTACTTCACCGTGTTCCCGATAGTACCTACGTATTAGCAACCGGGTACACGACATACAAAGATAAATAGCAGCGATACATCGTTATGAAATAATGTCGCGAAGGCATATATAATAATTATTATTATTATTTTAGTTTCGATAAATCTTCCGACGCTCTCGGTCGCCGGCTACAGATACGCTGTACGAGTTGTTCTTATCTCGGCCAAAACGCTGAGCCTCACATCGTCGTAGTCGATGATCACCACCACAACAATATAATAATATTATTATAATATTATACGTACACATTTTAACACGTCGCCGTCAGGAACCGTGTAATTTTCTAGTCTCCAATCGTGTTTCGTGCACCCTCATCAATCAAAACTCGTTTATGCCGTCGCTTAAGTCGCGATCGCGGTCGGTTGATATAATATAATGCATTATATTCTATGAACACGCGCGGACGACAAACTCTCAAGTGTGTGGTCATTAAAGCCTCCGTATCTTGTAATATTATTATTCGACGAAGACGAAGACGACGGCGGCGGTGGTGTTGGCGATGATGTTGATGATAATTATAAAGCACACAATAATAATAATAATAATAATAATTACTGCGATAATATTATTATTATACAGCCAGACAGTCTCGACGATAACGACTGGGCACGGGGAAGTGCGCTGTACCTACCTATACTCAAACACAAAATAATATAAGAGGAATGGACAGAAGAAGCCAAAAGTTGCAGTAATTAAAATAGTCTATATTGTATTATTTATTTTCTCTCAGGGTATAGTTTTATGAGCCCTGCAATCTGCAGAGTCGATTTGACAATCGTTTCGTCAAATAGGTACAATTTTATAAGTCTATGACGACAATTTCATAGTTTTTTTTTTGTTATACATCTATATTTTACTGCACTAATATAACATGTCTCTGAAAAAATGGGCAATACCAACAGAAATTAATGAACATTTTAAAAATGATTTGCCTCGGCGTGAACATAAAGCGCACATATATGGGTACTCATACAACATGTCCAGACTTGAAATTGTTGTCAAAAACAAATCTACCAATTTTGGGTTTTGGTTTATGGTTGCAAAATGTAAAATATTTTACTATATGATAAAAATGTACTATTTAAGATTAAACATAATACAACTGATGTGCCCGGACATGTTTCCAACGTATTTTACTGTTATGGATACATAATACAACATAGATTAAAAAGAAATTGTTTGCATTATATTGTATTCTTCTTAAATTATTATTGATATTTTATAATATTTAAAACAAGTTTTTGGAATATCCATTAACACTTTTTATGAAGATTACTAATTTGAAAAATATTGTATGCAAAAATACATATAAATCCGTTGTAATCAACATTTTCAGGAAAAAAATAATATCATAAATACATAAAATATCATTTTTTTAAAATTAAATTAGTTTA